AATCATATCCACACTTATGAAAGTAAGACAAAACTAAAAATAACCAATTTAAGGTCCGGAAGATAGAATGCTATCAAATATTCTAAATGAGCTTAAATTCATTAATTTGGGGAAACTACACTATGAAATATTGAGCATGTGCAGATAAAATAAAGGAATTGTTAAAGCCATCTTTAAAAACACTATGATGAAGAGAACTGTTGACAGAGTCCAACCATTGCCTCAATTTTCAAACTTGGAAAGGTGGGTTCTACTAGCTATAATTTAGAGAGCTGGACATTAATTGCAGGCACTATTCCAAAGAGATGTTTAAAAACATGGCATGCAAGCATTCAAAATGTGAAGTGCTGTTATTTATAAACTAACGAGAGGTCACAGGAACCTATCACTATCAACTAACCTAGTTATTTCCTTCTGTTTTTAGTAGCCGTTACTTGACATTTATTCTGCAGGAATGGAAACTCATTTCAGCAAGGAATTTGACCAAGTCTGTCTCAGTATACACTCTTAAGCCACACAAAGAAATGTAAACTTCAAAGAGAGTTATTTGACCGTATAACTGGTTGAACTGCCTTAGAAAGAGGAATAATTTATGGACTAATATAAAGCAGGAGTCTATCTAAAGGAAGGTGTCTAGGAAAATGCCAAGGCAGTTCCAGTTCAGCATTGTAGACAGTTACCTGGACAAAGATGTTAATCATATCCTGATCAAACCTGTTAATTCCCCTAAATTGGAGAAAATGGCTAATCTGTATCAAGGACTCACAATTTAAGCAGACTTTGACTTTCTGGAACAACAGGCTAACTAAAGGTAACGATTAAATTGAATTGCAGTAAGTATTTGTAAAGTCACAAATCAAGTGGCCAAACAAAATTAGGTTGGGAAAAGAAGTGTATTTTCAGAAGAATGTGCAAAAAAGATACAAAATTAAACAATATTGTATGAGTGCAGAAAAAAGGGGGGATAAGGTAGAATAGATTTCAGGTTGATTTACTATATGGTATCTAGAGGACATAAATATATCAGAGGACGGTCCTCTATGTTTAACTCTGGGTATCACACTAAGAAAAACAGAAGTGCATCCAAAAGAGAAAAGCCCTGATCACGATGAGACTCTCAACCCATGCTAAACACACATGGGTTGAAGGAACGGAATATTATCTTAGACACTATTAGGAGCTGTTAGATGTTAAAGCATTTTTTATAAATACTCTACGAGGTAAAAATTAAAGATATGGGTATTAAAAAGAAAAATTTGATAGTTGAATATAAGAAAAGAGTTCTTACGCTCAGAGCCGGTCAAAGAAATGCTTACTGTATTCAAGGTGAGTGCTGACAAATAATTTGCCAAAGCTGACTCTAATATTCTCTGTGAATGAAAAAGTAAGGTCCTCTGCTAAGAAAGAAGAGTGGAGATAATTTTGGTAGACTAGAAAACCTGGGAATATCCAGAATGCATACCATGGAGAATTTGATATGAAATTAACCAAAAAAGAATAAAGTAACTGCAAGCACTGTTAAGTATCCTCTACACTGAAACTGGAGTGAAGCAATTGGGAGCCACAAGATGCAGTTATGTCTCTTTGTCCAGCTAAATCCACAGCAAGGAAGATAAAGCAGACATTAAAAGTGAAGCTGACATTGGGAAGGCAGGTTCTGGTAGGGCTAGTGGCAAGAGATTTAAGGGTTTGAGCAGAGTTAAAATCGTTGGTGAAACAAATAATAGTTTACAAGCAATTCTGAAGAGGCTACCAACATATAACAGAAGAGCGCACAAGGATCTCTGTCACCAAGATAATAGCTCCATTTGGTAGCATTAAGGCAAAAACGAGCCTTAATTCAAGAATAACAAAGACAACAGTGTTAAGCCCTTTAGACACCTACTATGCGTCAACCACTATGGATCCAATATTGGATACTCCGAAGGAGATTTGAATTTAGTGGGAGATGCAGACATTTAAACCGGTACTTTCAGTGATGTGTGACAAAGCAAAAGGGGATAAATAGATAGGCTGGGCCTAGAGAAAAAGGTCAGGATTAAGAAATGGGTCTGCCCCACCTGCTTTCAACAAGAGGGTGTTCACTTTCAAAGCCATTGTCTTGTGTTGATTTCCTGCTAATTCTTAGGATGGTGAGATGGAGGGCTTGGTATGTGAGTTAATTAATTTGAGTTGGCTTCAATTTTATAAAAGGGAGATTTTGTTTTAACGAAATATTATTAATGGCCAGAAACATGCCAGATAAGAGAAGTTAGGAACTACAGGCTGTGAGGCACATTCTTGTGGCAAGGAAGAACCTGTTCCAGAGGATCTCAAGTTTTAAGATGTAGCCATTCTCTCTTCCTGTCGGCTTGGAAGATGAAGCCTATTGACCTGAATCCAGGGAGGGCAGTGTGTGTGTGTGTGTGTGTGTGTGTGTGCGTGTGTGTGTACATACATATATATATATATATGTTAGGTAAGACATTTCAAAATGTTCTGAAAAAAATTAAAGAAGCAGATATGATTCAGCACAGCCAGGAAATTTGTTTTACCCCAAGTAAATCAATCCCAGGAAATTTACTTCACCCCAAGTAACTAATCATTGACAAAAGCTCTTGTATCAAGTCAAGATGTAGACACCCAAAACAACCTATTGCAGAATCAATGTAGATGGCCAAGAGACAAAAATATTTTTAATTATTGATACTTTTGAAAGAAATATTTGTTTTTACTAATATGCAAAAAGTGAGAAATATAAATGTTTAAGAAAAGTGGCTTGGGTAAATATTTTTAATTCACCAGTATAAAAACCAGTGCCATCAAAATGGAATAGTCTCACAAATAAAAGCCAAGCAACTTCTTAGTGAATCTGACGTAGAAAAAGTCATTCTGAATAACCACGTCCTCCAAAATCTTTTTCCTATCAATGGACATACTTTTTGGCTTGTTTTATTGAAATACTGCCTTACCTTTCCATTTCCCCTTTCTTGTTGAGATTGGTTCTGATGGCTAATTTGATATTTATTTATTTCTGTAAAAAGGTAAATTAGAAATTATGAGGGTACATATCATGTTATTTTAAACTAACCTGTAAAGAAAGAAATATTCTCCTCAGTCCACAATCATTAACTGTTAGCAAATGTAAATGCAGGATTTAATTTCCCATGTATAGTTTCTGAAAAAATTCAGTTATATGGTATTGCAATGTGTCAATAAAAGTGATATTAGATAAAGGTTTATTTTTTTTCAAGTTTAGTTGAAAAATATCTATGACAAAATTCTTAAAATTAGGTCTCAAAATAGTTTATTGATGTACGTGTAATAGATATACTTTAATTTTAATATTATCACTTGTTTGTAGTGAAATATTAAAATAGCTTCTCAAAATGTCTTAAGAAAAATCACTTAACAAGCCATAGTTTTAAGAGTTATAAGGACTAAGCATTGTGAAGTTTTTCACACTTCTTTTGTCTTTGGGATTACCATAAATAAATAAAATAGTTTTATATTTCCTTCCGCATTCTCTGAATAACAGAAAACTATTTTAATTATGTTATTTAATACCTGAATACCTAGAAGCAAGACCTTTAAGGGGCTACTTATATTTCATACACTTTGAGACATCATATCAAGCGTAAGTACTTTATATGTTGATTGGATTTCAAAGACAAAAATATAATTTTTATTTTCTGCCTTTTAATAGAGATCTTTAAATACAAGAATAAATATAAGGTACCCATCTATTCACTACAAAATTCTACTAAATAAGCGTCACAGACCTATTTCCTAATACCTTAAAATACATGCATCTGCTCTTGTGAAATGTTTAATTATTGTCACACCATGTAATTGTTCTAGAATTTTTCTGCTGGCCTATGTCTGCAGGCTCTATGTAGAGAGCCTGTTGTTTTGACAAGAAAAAGTGTGGCTTATGTGGTTTTACCCTGTGGTCCTTAATTTTGTGTCATTTGATATTTGACTGTGTACCGACTCCCTTAAAATGCAGTAACTCTAACGTTTAAGTACAAATTGAGGATCGCAGGCCCCCAGAAGATCCACAGACCCAGTTGTTAAATGGCTGAGCAAAGCACAGACTGTACAGACAACTTCCACTGAAGGAATAATAAAGTTTATGCATATAACTTTCAGGCAAATCAAGTGTTGCTTATTTGGGTCACATCGTTGCTATCATAACGCGTTGATTTTTTTACCACTGTGCATAATACGGTACCTGAAATAATCACTCTTAAAGAAAAAAAAAATACGTATAGCCATTTTAGGAAAAGCGACAGACCATTTCCACACTATGAACCAAGATATAAAAATTTATATAATTAAGGGCTTCAACCCTTACCTATATGTAACAGGAAAGTTTGACGTTCCTACCAAGACCGTTCTAGTAAGTGGTAGAGATGTAATAAAATCAAATCAAGAATTCATTGAATAGGCATTTAGTGAAATCACCATAGGAAGACTGATCCTAAAACATCACTATTGATATGTAATAAACGAAGTTCAAATGAAAGAAAAAAATCTGCCCTATTTAAAACCCAGCACTGTTTCCACAGGTTCGAATTCAAGATGCCTTCCACCAGTCACCGTTAAGTGAGCCTTACGATCTTCTGGCTTACTTCAGAAGATGTAAACTGTTTATCGAGTGCACAATGAAAGAATAACCTTGTGGAAATCCGTGAGCAAAGAAAGACGCACGAAATCCATAGCCTGAAATCACATGACCACATTGCAACGCAGCCCCTCACACCATCGTCACTGGCAGGCAGCTCCGGCGACGGGGTGCAGCCTGGCGCGGAGACCCCGGTGGCCCCCTGCTCACCGTTTCTCCTAGAGCCTGAGTCCTAACGAAAGCCGAAATGGGACTGCTAAGCATAAATGATTCTGTCTCGCACACACGCGCACACCTCGTGGAGCCGCTGGGGAGCCGCTGGAAGTTAGCCGGCTGCCTTCTCTGGGCAGCCCAGCGATCGCAGGGTTTGCTGTGGGGAGCACGCGCCGCTTACCCAAGCCGCAGCCCGCCGGGTGAAGTTGCCCTGAAACCCGCCACCACCTCCAGTCCCGCTGCCCCCCGGGTGCAGGCATTCCCAGGCTGCGCCCGCTCTCTCGCCTGTCCGCGCGCGGGAGGCCGCGGCGCTGCACCGGGCTGGAGGGCTCTGCGGCCCGGGCTCCCCGGCGGTGGGAGAGCAGCGGCCCCCGCGCGCCCCGCGCGTTCTCACGGCCCGGCCCAGCGAGCGCGGCCGCAGGCGCGGCGCTGCCCTGCGCCCACCCCAGTAAGTGCTCCTCCCTCGGGCGCCGCGGGTCCCCCGGGCCCTGGGCCGGCCCTCCGGGCGTCGTCTCTTTTCCTCTCGCTCCTCCCCAGCGTGGGAACCGGGCCCTGGCTCCCCAGGGCTGGGCAATTTGGGAGCTTAGGGAAGGTTTCCCGGGAGAGGAAGGAGGCCCAGCCCAAGAAGGGGTCCCGGAAGAGGGACCGCCTGTCTGAAGAGCCCCGACCCGCGTGGGGACGCAGCGACCACTTACTTGGTGGCTTCGCACACCTCGGGGCTGTGCTTCCGGATCTCTAGCAGCTCCAGGGCGCGCCTTGCAAATCCGCACTGCGAAGGGAGAAAGAGAGAGGGCGTCAGGGGTGGCAGGCGGTGAGCGGGAGACGGGACCCTGCAGTGCACCTGTCGGTCTCCGCGTGTGTGCACCCTGGGCACTCGCAGCAGCCGCGCTTACGCTCGGGTAGCTAGTGTCTACCTGCTCAACAGGCTGGGCGGGACGCGGCGTGCCTCGGACACGGTGTCGACCGTGTGGCTCCCAGACCCTCAGTCCGCCCCTGCCTTTGTCTCTCTGTGTCTGTCTGTATCTCCCTCTTTGATCACCCCAAAGGAACCCTTGCAGTTCCTTTCTCTATGGCATTCGATTTTTTCAGACCTCTCCCCGTCTCCTCCCCTTTTCTGCACCGAAAGACTGAAAAAGAAAGTAGCAGCCAAAACGCACCATGGTGAGATCACGCTGGGCTGGGGTCCCTAGGCTGCTCCAGGCGCTTCTTCCCCCGAAGGTGTCCTTCCCCTGGGTCTGCTCCAGGCTGCTCGCCGCTATAGCGCAGGAAAAAGTGTAGGAAAACTCTGCCCTAAAACCTGCTTCTGGAAAACTGACTCTGTGCTGTGTCCCACCCACTAGGCTCAGAATAGGGCAGGGGAACCGAGTCCTGGTCTCTGCAGCCGCCCAATCGCCATCCCAGAAATTACTGTGTGGATACTGAGACCTAGGGGCAGGGGACAAAAAAAAAAGAGAAAGGAAAAAGTCGGAGAAGACTCCAGGAAAATTTGGCCCACTTAAAAACAGAAACATGTCTTCTCTATGCACTGGTTCGGAAACACTGCAGTTTTCCACAGTTAAAAAACTCCAACATTTCTGTCGGGAAGTTGACATCAGCGCTGATTATTTTCTTGTGCAAGTTTTCAGATTTGAAGTCAATATACTTCTTTGCAGAAGCAATTTTATGGTTACAGAGATTTTACATCTTTTGAGTAAAGTCTGGCTTCTGCTTGGCTCGGTGCACTTAGTTCTGTTTGTTACCTATGTGTGTGTTGTGATATTATGCTTTTAGTCACCTTTCTGACTTAAAAAAAAAAAACCATCATTCTGTTCCATTGTGAATTAACAATTAATCATGATTTTTATGTGATCCCTCTTCAATTCAATTCAATTCAAGATAGTATCCTCTTTTATATGTTCCCCAAATCCACCAACTAATGTGGCCCCATTTTAAGCTCATCACATTTGCAGACTTTCTCCCAGTCTTGCCTGTTGTGCTTGCCTCATGGCGAACATTAATCAGAATCAGGAAAACAAATATATTTAAGTAAGTCAGGAACAGTTAAGAAAGTCAGCTATATAAGCACAGGTAGCCACAGAAACTTTTGCCCTCCTGCCATCTCAGAAACTTCTCTTCCTCTGCATTTAACCCGTGATACTGTCTTAGATCAGCAGGGCATTTGTACTAAGAATATTTAGAACTTCAGATGTAGAAGGAAACTTTAAGAAAATACAGAGTAATTCATAAGTATAAGGAAGAGGGAATTCATACTACTTTAAGTAAATTAAATGCTATGAATATTCAGAAGAAAATGAGGTATTGTCTGGCAGGTTTCATAAAAGAACAGTATTAGAGATAGATCTTGAAGGATTGGTCATATTTGGAGAAAGATAAAATAGAGGAAGTTATTTTTTGGTGTTTTTGCTTTTTTCTGACAGAGGGAAACTTGCGAGCAAACATATAGAGGTTGAAAAGGCATGACACTGCTATTCAAGACACAAAGAGTAGTACCATCCGGTAGAAATAAAAAGTACATAAAGAAACTTGTAGGAATATATGGTAGAAAGATAGGTTGGGTTCAGATGCCTGAGTTCAGATCCGCTGTAGTCATGAGTTTCAGGCTTGTATAAAAACTTTGTTGTTGTTGCCTTCTGCTGCTGATACCATTACCAATATTCCTTTCATTCTGGAACATGACTTGTTTAACCCTTAATTTTGACGTTTACTATTCTCAAGTTTTATAGCGTATCAAATTCCTTGATTAGTAATGCATTTAACCCCACGCCATTCTGCCAGGAGCTACTCAGCTTTATCCGGGTAGACTCTCAACTGAAGAGTGTCTTGTCTTCTTCCTCCTCTACCCTTTGTGACTGTCAGACAATGGGTAAGAAGAGAAAGCAACCAATCTAAGCGTAATGGTGGCTAGAACCACCAAAAGGTGATTACAAAAGACATTCCGTAATCCGGATGTTTGATATGTACTAAAAAAGTAACAAGAGTTCCTTGATGTTAGGGAAGTGCTTATCTTCAAGCCTAATTTCCTAGCAATGAACATCGTTCATAACGGGATTCACTAAAATGAGTGGATGAATGAATACCTGAATATTTTGTCCTCTTCCAGGTCCATTCTTCTTTCTTATAGTTGACTTATGTATTAAAAACTACTTTCCTCCACTTTGTTGAGAATAAGAAAGTTGTCATGACAAATTAATAAAAATGTTAACAAGGAAAATTATTCAGTGTACAGCAATATTCCTAGCCATGTTGGCGCTGGCAGAAAAGCTCAGGATATTTTCCTCTCAAGACGCTTTGTGTTTCTTGTACCTACAACCCACAATTGACAACAATACAAAAGCATTTAAATGTACATTAATTTCACACTTGCACATGAAATGACAATAGCAACTAGAGATAGTATCTAAATCCTCGCTACTCAGAGTATGGTTTCTCTATCAGCAGTATCCCATAATCTGCAATCTTGTTAGAAATACAGAAGGAGAGGCTGGGCGCGGTGGCTCACGCCTGTAATCCCAGCACTTTGGGAGGCCGAGGCGGGTGGATCACGAGGTCAAGAGATCGAGACCATCCTGGTCAACATGGTGAAACCCCGTCTCTACTAAAAATACAAAAAATTAGCTGGGCATGGTGGCGCGTGCCTGTAATCCCAGCTACTCAGGAGGCTGAGGCAGAATTGCCTGAACCCAGGAGGCGGAGGTAGCGGTGAGCCGAGATCGCGCCATTGCACTCCAGCCTGGGTGAAAAGAGCGAAACTCCGTCTCAAAAAAAAAAAAAAAAGAAATACAGAAGGAAGTTCAGGCCAGTCTCCAAACCAACTGAATTAGAATATCCACTTAACAGAATCCCCAAGTGATGTACACGCACACTAAAGTTTGAAAAGCACTGATCTACTATCAAGGTGTTAAGTATGATAAGCCTCAAAGAACATTACATGAATCTTCCTAAATCCAGAGATTTTTAGAACGAGTGCTTTTTTTTTTTTCTGGGTTACTATTGCCATGTCAGTTCAAATAAAGTAATGGGACTAATGATTTCATCTCTACTGACTTTGTGGACCATAATACATTCATAAACCAGAGGGAATTAAGAGAGAGAGAGAATGGCGAAAGGGTAGAAGTGAGAGAAGTGGCCATACATGTCGGGGCAGAGCTTTGTTTTATTTTTAGCAAACAAACCAACCATGGATTATACTATTTTCCAAATTAGGATAACCTCTCAAACACAGAAAATGAAGGTAAACTTCTGTCTTTTTATTTCCTCTTTTTCTTAGTATTATTCATTTTCAATTTGTTTTAATGTGCCTGGTTAGATAAATTTTACACTGGTAACTTGCAGTAAGATGATGCAAACACTCCAAAATATCTCTTTTGTATGAATGTAAAGGTTTAGTTAGAAAAACTAAATCACATTAGATTGGCGACCATACATTTCTAGTCCTGGACTGGAAGAGATTCTGATAGTAACAGAAATGTTGTCCACGATATCAAAGAGTTGGTGTTTGTGAGACGTAAATACAGTGGTAGGCAGAATAATGGCACTCCAAAGATGTCAACCTGCTAATCCTTAGAACCTGTGAATATGCAATATTACATGGCAAGGGAGAAGTAAGGATGCAGATGGAATTAGGGTTATTAATCAGCTGGTGTTGAGATGGGAAGAATATTCCAGATTAAGTGGGTGAAGCCAAAGTAATCAAAGGGTCTTTATAAAAGAAAGATTAAAGCTATAGAGTCAGAGTTAGAGTGATGCTATGTTAGAAAGACTTACTCAGTAATTGCTGGCTTTGAAAATAGAAAGGGGGCCAAGTGTGGTGGATCATGCCTGTAATCCCAGCACTTTCGGAGGCCGAGGGAGGTGGATCACCTGAAGTCAGGAGTTCAAGACCAGCCTGACCAACACGGTGAAATCCTGTCTCTACAAAATGCAAAAAATTAGCCAGGTGTGGTGGCGGGCACCCATAATCTCAGCTACTCAGGAGGCTGGGACAGGAGAATCGCTTGAATCTGAGAGGTGGAAGTTGCACTGAGCCTAGATTACATGATTGCACTCCAGCCTGAGTGACAAGAGCCAGACTCTGTCTAAAGAAAAAAAAATGGAAAGGGGCTTAGCCAGGAATGTTTGCAGCCTCTAGAAGATGAACAAAGCTAGAAAATTATCCCTCCTTAGAGTCTCCAGAACAGAAAGCAGCCCTGTCATCACCTAGGTTTTAGTGTAATGAGACTCATTTCAAACTTAAGACTTACACAAATGTAAGCTAATAAATGTGCGTTGCTTTAAGTCCTAAGTTTGGGGGGTAATTTGTTGCAATAGTAATAGGACACTAAATGTCAAAGGGTCTTAGGTGTTGGGCAATGGCAAAGGCTGGAAGAATTGTGTGGAGTCAGCATTTTAAAAACTGAGACTGCCTTGAACACATTGTTAGTAGAAATATGGAGGCCGGGCGCAGTGGCTCACACCTGTAATCCCAGCACTTTGGGAGGCCGAGGCGGGTGGATCACGAGGTCAAGAGTTTGAGACCATCCTGGTCAACATGATGAAACCCCGTCTCTACTAAAAATACAAAAAATTAGCTGGGCATGGTGGCACGTGCCTGTAATCCCAGCTACTCAGGAGGCTGAGGCAGGAGAATTGCCTGAACCCAGGAGGCGGAGGTTGCAGTGAGCTGAGATCA